TGTACTAAAATTTTCTAATAATTTTAAAAAAATTTTATAACAAAGTTATTAAAACAAAACTAAAAATATATTTTTTATTTAAAAAAGATATAGCTAAAATTAATATTTAAGCTTTTATTAAGAATTTTAAAAAAAACATAAGCAAATTTACCTATGTTACAGACAAAAGAATAATTAAAATTTTGTGCTGAAGATTTTTGTTTAGAAGTCAAACTACGGTTATCATAGTAAAATTTTGAGTTATTTACAATTTTCTGTTTTCTCATTGAGAAAATAAAAAAATCATAAATAACTCAAGATTTTACTATGATAACTGTAGTTTGACTTCTAAACAAAAGTCTTCAGCACAAAATTTTAGTTATATAAATATCAAATATAAAGTAAATTAAAATCTGTGCTTAATGCTTTTCGATTCGGTGATCAACATAACCTGGCACAGATTTCAGAAGTGTGAACTGAACAACAAAAGATCCTTAAGTAGAAAAATCCATCAACCGAACTGCCAATTCAGGAAAACTGAGAATTGACAGACATATATAGTACACACCAACTAGGTTACTAGCAGCAGAGGGCCCTACTCCTAGCAAACCTATAAATTGGAAGATATGGACTATAAGGCATAGCTAAAAAAATAGGCTGGGTATGCCAGAGAACTAGAAACTCCCAAGTTGAAGAAAAAGGATGTATGCTACGGAAATATGAACCAAGATGAGATGGGCCAAAGGTACCTAGAGCTAGGCCAAAGTTGAACCTTTTGGGTTATCAGTTGGAAGTAAGAATTAGATCGGTTAGGAAATAATAGAAAAAAGAAAGTCCAAATATAGATATCAGGTAGAAAGTACCATATATTGCTGAAAATAAGCCACCTCCAAAAATAAGCCACCCCCTTTTTTCTCGGAGAAGAAACATAAGAAAATTTATTATTCTGAAAATAAGCTACCCCTGATAATTTCTTAAAATCTAGAAGTAGTCTCTATATATAAAAGTCAAAATTCTATTAAGTAAATTGATAAAAGTCACTTAATAGGGGTTGTTCAGAACATAAAAATACACATATTCTGAAAGATTGAAGCAAATCGAAGAACTTTTTATTAAGATGTTTTTGCATTTTACGTTCAAATGTAAAATGCAAAACCATCTTAGTAAAAATTTTTTCAATTTGCTTCAAAATTTCAGGATATGTGTATTTTTATTTTTATGTTTTGAACAACCCCTATTAAGTGACTTTTATCGATTTACTTAATAGAATTTTGACTTTTATATATAGAAACTACTTCTGGATTTTAAAAAAATAATAAAAATCAACCTTTTCAAAACTTTACTAAAAATAAGCTACCGATATGATTTTTGTGCCACTTTTTTGGCCAAAAAAGGTAGCTTATTTTCGACAATATACAGTAAACCTTATAAAAGCATAGTGATCACTAAGCTATACCACAAGTGGAATCTTTAGAGACTACAAAGACTAGGCTAGCTGGAATGAAATACAGAAAGCTCTAGTAGGTTTACCTTGAGGATAGCTGTGGTATCCACTTAATAGAGGAATGCAAGCCAGTAATTAGTCAATACAAATCCAGAATAAATTCACAGAAGTCCTAAGACGAGATGTGAAATCTACTAAGGATGAGTTGTAATTGTGGTAGTCTCATAGTTAGAATAAAATAGTATATATGGTGAAGATCAAAAGGTTTAAATAGGTAGTCCTAGTTTGGGCTGCAGGTACAGGCATTTAGTGTAAACAGTGCTAAAAGTGCAATGGCTAGTTGTATTTTTGTTGTAACCAGTATCATTGATTTCTAATAAAAAGTCTTCCTTGGCCAAAGAGGTCACCTTAATACTGAAAAAAAAAATAATAAACCAGAAGATAAAATTGAAGTATTTGTAATTTAATAAGCAAAATATATAATTATAAAAAATTAAACATTTACAATACTTAGGAAACCAACAAAAATAAAAAAATTATAAAACTATCTCTATTTTTCAAAAAATTTTAACATAGTATAAAAAAACTTAGAGCACAACAGAGAAATAATTTGTAGCATAATGAAATCTAAATCAAATTTAAAAAGAAAAACTTCTTTTGAAATTGGAGATTATATCAAAATTCAAGTTTTAAAAATTAACTAATTTAATACTGATCAGAAATTTTTACTCTGTAAAGTATTGGAAGTTCTTTAAGACAGGTATTATAAGCTTGGTTATGCTAATGATGTTTTGGATACTTGTTTTTGTACATATGATATAGGTCTATTAGAATTACCTGACTATTTTGAATTAACTGAAATTCCATCTATTCAACTTTTTTTGCATATAGCTGCTATTAAACAAAGTGGTATATCTGTAAGTAAGGCAGTTTGTTATCGTAAAGGAAATTATCTTTCTATGCGCTGTGCTTGTAGTAAAAATAACTTAAAATATAGTAGTAGATGTCATGGCGGCAACATAGTCTGTTAAAATAAATAGCATAGTATTATTTTATCTATTTTAATATTTAGCTTTTTTATATTTGCATGTACATAGTTAATATTGCTTATGTGTAATAATTTATTTCGATCAAATTGTTTAACTTGACTCAGTCAAATTAGTAAATTTACATGAATTCAAGTTTGATCAATTTTACCGGGTCAAGTTTAACTTAACCCAAAAACCAAATTGACTCGTAACATATACAAATATTTTCAAACCAAAATATTTTAATAAACCTAATATAATAATTTAATTTTAGTAAACTACTGTATACAGCATATATGTAAGAATTAACTTTTTAGCAAATTAAATTAATTAAGATCTATATTAGAGATGTTCGGGTCCTGTCTTATCATATATATTTATTCGTAAACATTAGATGGCTTATTGCTCAACCAACGGCTGACCCGGGTCAGGATTTTTAGACGGTTCGGATCACTAATTCTAAGACTTTGAATCACTATATTGCAACATATTTCTATACTTCTATTTACAATATTAAGTACTTGAAATAAAAGTTCATGTTTGTGAATATTACTGTATTGTTATAAATATCACCATTTCATTTCATTTTATTCGTAGAGGAGTATAGTGAGTATTTATTAGTTCGAATATTTAAAATAAGTTATTCAAGTTCATGAATAAGTACTGTATATTTTCATAAAAATTCACTAATAAAAATACAAATGACCAAACTAGTATAATACAAATGACAACTTAACCTAGTGCTATTTGTAAAGCCATTCTAGTATCGGCCATAAAACATATTTCATAATTAAAGCTTAAACGATAAAGTAAAGAGTTAAGGTGATAGATAGTCATATAAAATCAAATTTTATTTTGTATAGCTGGAAGTTAGAAATATAGCAATTACTCTATAAAGAACTTTAAAAGTTTTTTATTATAAGAACGGCTAAAGCTTTATAGATATAGCTGAAAAGCTATGTGATAATAATACGGTAGTAGTAGTTTTTAGATTACTGATTTTTTTAATTATATAGAATATATATATACAGTATTAGTGATCTATAATGAATGACGAAAGTGATTATGATTTAATACATACATTGATAACTAGTTAAGGTATTGAATTTTACATGGTGATCATTTTGTTCGTCACCGTTAACATTAAAAACGAAGAATCGGACATAAACTCTATTAACAACGTGAACTGGCATGTTGTTATTGTTAATATTCCAAGTTCTTGTTCGAGATTGATCATGATTGTTGATTCGATACTCCATTTTATCGACACATATATCGGTATTTAAAGCATTGATAAAGGCATGAACTTCTATTATGACATTAAAATCACCGTAATTCTCAATATTCTCAATGCTATGGGTAATTTCCATTGTTCCAAGATTAATTTTGGAAATACCAAGTTCATCTATATATAATTCGTATTCTTGTTGAGATGATTGTATGAGTTCGAAGTTGGCGTGAACGTTATGATTCATAATGAGAGAAATTATGCCAAAGATGTGACAGAGAGAGACAAGAATGGTGTCAGTCTAGTGAGAACAAAAAAAAGGTTGTAAAAAAAAAATAATCTATCGATTTTTATGCGTAAAAATTTCGTAAGGGATTTCGATAAGGGTAAAGAGATTCTTTATATATTTTCGATGGGAAAAGTTGGTAGTAGATGGTATATAGATTTTCATCAGGAAAAAAGTCTTGTTTTGGTTTCGCCTACTGATAGTAAAAATAATAATATATATCGATATTATCGTTATAACGGTAATAATTCCTTTATCGATGGATCTTCCGTGGATCAATCTTTTTCCGCGAACATTATTTTATATTTAGACCTATTGCTGCGCTCAAATGGCGATCCAGTCCCAATTTTATTTTTGAATAAATTAAGCTTTGAACTGTTAGATCTGAATTATACACATAAAATAAAATAATACTCGGATCTGGATTTAACTTTAATTAAATGCTAAGATAAATATTCAGTAAGAAGTTAATAATGATACCCTATCTATCTGCTATCTATCTGCTATCTAGTTCGTAAAACATATTTAAATCTGGTTAAATTTTATGCCAGATAGACATTTGGCGCATATATTTATTGAAACAAAGAAACATCAAAGAAAAAAAAAAAAGTATTTATCACACTTTTTTTTTAATTTTATTTATTTATTTATTTACAGTATTCATTTTTTTATTTAAAAAAAAAAACTTGGGGGGAAATTTTTGCACGTAAATTGACGCTAAATTACCCCACAAAATACCACATTTGTTCCTCAAAGGTTTGATTTATCCTGTCATTACAAAAACAGTAAAAAATACAGTTAGCAGTTTATTTTTTTGTAGAAGATCCGTTTGACAGCTATTTTAAAGCTTTCATTATCTCCTATAATGTATCACTGATTATCCATTTTTTGTCTATACTTCAAAGTATAACTATAATATATATATATTTCTATAAAAAAAAGCATTTTACAATATGGTTCACTTTAGTAATAGTACTTATCTAATACTGTATTAACTATATATACAAATATAAACCAAACTACAAACTTCTCAATCATATTCAAAAAAAACTTTATATCTTCATTCAGAAACTTTTACCATACAGTAATATCGGTATAACTAAGTGCGTAAATAAGGCTACATAAATGACACATTTAATGTACCCCATAATGATCTGTGCATGCATGTACGTACGTTCGCCTGTTGTCGTAGATGATCTCTACTGTTTCAACGTTAATAGAAACGACAAATATAAATCAATTGACATTTAATTAGAATAAAGAAAAATTCATTGGAATGCAATAATAAATAACTGTCGGATTAATTCGCTGTCAGTCTTGCCTTATAACAATTCATTTATTTGGTCAGGGATTTTAAGATCTTCATAAAATATTGTTTTCTTTCAGAATTCTCATTCCTTTAACTTTCAATCCTCGACCAAATAAATCCGTTATCAAACAGTATCTGTTTAATAAATTAAAATTATAGTAAATATACATAGCATTAAATCCAGATTAGATGATTTTTTTGATAACCTATATGTTCATCTTTTCCCAGTACCAATTCATTTTATTTCTATAATAATAACAATACATAATTAATATTATTATACGTATATACATTTCATTCATATTTCCCGTCTGAATAGATTTTGCATTATGATGCATTTATGAAATACCTTATAACTAACGCTAAAATATTTATTTGACTACGTACGAATTATTATCTGTTACAATCAAATATCTCTAGATTAGGTGACATCATTATTATATACCCGGATGGGTGAACAGGGTCCTTTTGTTAATAGTTCTTTATATTACAAATATATATCGTCACAAAAAAATTTACCTTAAAATATGGTGAATAAGCACAGCTCCTTCTACCCTACTTTTTTCAATTTCAGATTAGCGGAAACAAATTATTCCCGTTAATCTGAAATTGAAAAAAACAGAGTAAAGGGTGCTGGTACTTATTTTTCCTTATTTTACGGTATTATAGGGATGTCCCTTAAAATGTCTAAACTAGTTCATAACCCCTGTCCGAAACCGGTCCAACTCTAGTGGTTTTAATATTATACGGCAGAAAAAAACAATCAAAAAAAATAACCAATCAGAATACCTACCCCAATTAAAGATCCTTATACTTCCAATTAAGGCAATTAAAAATATTGTTATTAAATTTCATTCGTAGTGTCAAAATTACATTTGATTCATATCATGCGAACTGTTTCTGGATGGTCCCTAAAAAGTCCAGTCCAGAACGAACCCGGTCCACTTAACATCCCTACGGTATTATAAGCGGAGATATTAAAAAAGGTCCTGTTCAAGGACTTTTCACCCACCCGGTATAGTGTGTCAAGATAGTGAAGATGAGTTAGCGTTAGATGCAATATTTACTTTGTTAAGGGGAGAAATGGTCCTATTCATGGATAGGATAATGTCATCATCAATTGTTACGGACAAAAGGATAATCCCGTATAGAATAAACTAACACCGAGAATAAAGGGCAAAGCAACTCGCCAGATCCGTGACGTTGGGGTATCCAATGTACTATGTAGATCAAATCTATATGTAGTCTAATATAAAATTTAATTAGTGCGATTTTTTGTG